GTGACGGAGCCCTGGCCCAGGCTGCCCAGAGGGGCTGTGGAGTCTCCTTCTCTGGAGATATTCCAGCCCCTCCTGGACAAGGTCCTGTACCCCCTGCTCTGGGTGACCCTGCTTGGGCAGGGGGTTGGGCTGGGTGACCCACAGAGGTCCCTGCCAAACCCTACCATGCTGGGATTCTGTGATTCTCTCTATGCGCCTGGCTCAAACACAAACGCCTCCCACAAACGGAGTGGTAGATCTGAAACCTCAGCCCTCTGTGGTCAATGGCAAAGGTTTGACCACCTTACATCTACTTCGCTGACCTCGCAAGTTTAGCTCCAAGGGACTGGCTGCAAACTAAATCTCTGCTAAAAGATCCAAAAGGTTAATAAAGAAAGAGTACAAAAAGGGGATTGGGCTAGACGACCTCGAAAGGACCCTCCAACCCATAACGTTCTGTGATTCTGTGAAAGAGGAGAAAAGATACTCTGATATGATCACAAAATGGCAAAGGTTTTCGCCAAGGGTATGATCCCACGCTCTGCCGGCTGCTGCGGCACCGCTCAGGCAAAGAATTACTGCCCTACAGCGTGGAGCAGAGCAAGGGTTTGTGGAGACAGATGGGAAAGCGATGACTGGCTAAAGCAAAACAGATCAAAAATCAACATTTTAAACACCATTTGGCTTAAAAGCAAAACGGAGATGAAGACTGAAAGAGCAACCTCCGATTCAGTGGATGTTCATCTAAGTGATTTGCAGTCCCTCCTCTATCAAATAACGGCTCTAAACTAAAAGAGGGCAGATTTAGAGTAGATATTGGGAAGAAATTCTTCCCCATGAGGGTGGTGAGGCCCTGGCCCAGGTTGCTCAGAGAAGCTGTGGCTGCCCCCTCCCTGGCAGGGTTCCAGGCCAGGTTGGATGGAGCTCTGAGCACCCTGGGCTGGTGGAAGATGTCCCTGCTCATGGCAGGGGGGGTTGGAACCAGATGATCTTGAAGGTCCCTTCCAACCCAAACCATTCTATGATTCTATGAAATATTGCTATATCACACATATCTACATTTCCAAAACCAAAACATAAAAAAAAACCCCAGTTTTTAATCTGTTTCTTCAAGCTTTCCCTTGTAAATAGTCCTCCTTGGTGCTCCCCCCACCCCCACAACGGCCAGCGAGTCACACATGGCCGTAAGGATCTCCAGTTTGCTGGTGACTCTCCACCTCCTTTCTCAGCCCTCTCATGCTAGCAAGGCTCGACGCGGCGATTCGAGGGGCCCCTACCTGGAGCTGGTAGCCGTGCCGGTGCCGTGGCTCACGGGCAGCATCGTCGCGGTGGGGGGCACCCCTAGAGAAGACCAGTTGTCGTGGGACTGCAGCATGGACAGGCAGGCAGAGGAGTTATCGGCGTAGGCTGCTGGGAAAGCAAGAGAGCACCTGAACCTGGAAAGTGTCCAGCGGAGGGCTACAAGGATGGTGAGGGGACCGGAGCATCTCTACTACGAGGAGAGGCTGAGGGAGCTGGGCTTGTTCAGCCTGGAGAAGAGAAGGCTGAGAGGGGACCTTAGAAATGCCGATCAATATCTGAAGGAGG